GAAAAAACCCCTCCAAAAAAAAAAAAAAAAAGAAGGAAGCTGCTTGAACATTTTTTAAGCAGAAAGATGGAAGAAAAGCAGCCTGAGCGCAGTATTTAGACATGTGCAGGTGAATCTCAAAGGAAGCAGCTGAAAGGGGAGAGCGCTGGGGCAACGAAATGAGTCCTGCTCCCAGCCCAGGGGGGCAACAATTTCCTGCACTGCCCCTGTGCCTGTTATTCCCTCTGCCTATGCGACTTTGCAGGGAATAGGGGTGGGAGTGGGGCTTTCACCCTTGCCCTCTCTCTTGCTGTCTCTCTCTGGCAAGTGCCTGCACCCTATGGCAGGTTTAAAAAAAAAAATTGCTGAACAATATGTATAGTATTGCCCACTTTTTATGGGGAAAAAATGTATATAGAATATAGGCTAGGGTAGAACCAGCAGATGGCATAATGGTTGCTTTGCTGGACTCCCACGTAGTCGATTGATCGTGGTTTAAGTCCCAGGCCTGGCAGCTTAAAACTCATGCGCATGCATGCCCAAAATCCCAAGAGGAGAATGGAGGAGAAGGGATTGCAATGTGGCCATTCCCTTGGTTGGGCAGGGGGGGGCGTGTGATTTCTCACTTTCTGTCCCTCTTTCTCTCTGTGTCTCTGGTGAGCGCACTTGCCCTGAAACAAAATTCTCCCTAAAATAAAAAAAATAATAAAAAAGAAAGAATGTAGACTAGGGCATAGACAGTAGTCTGGAAGGATTGTCAACAACAGGTACTTCTAGAAATGAGGTTGCAGATGGGCTGGAAAGAGAGCTCTCACTTTTTATTTGACATTCATCTGTGTGTTCCAAGTCTTTGATGCAGTTTATGCAATCGACAGCATTTTGTGGATTTTAAAAGAACCAGCTCTGGGAGTGCCGGGGAGGAGCTTGGTGGAGCAGCAGCCACAGCAGCTCTGGAAAGGGGCAGGACCCTGGGCACTGCCCTGATTTGCTCTGTGCCCTTGGGTCAGCCACCTCCCATCTCTGGGCTAGTGCCAGACACATGCTGATGTGTGCATTGGCGGAGCAAGTAGTGTGGCCAGGCAGGGCTCCTCCCGAGCACATCTGAGCAGTTTTTAAGGCATGGACTGATTGCAGAATTGTTGACATGTTAATGAAAATGAAGGAAGAGTATGAAAGTCAGACTCTGGGTTGCCTACTAAGAGGGGGTGGTTGGGCAGGTCACTGGACAGAGCTTTCACGCCTGTCCAATGGATCAGGCCCTGCCCTGCCTGAGTTAAACCCTTTGGCCTGGGGAGCTTTGGGTCAGCCACACAAAAGCCTTCCTTCCTTGGCAGCTGGGATGAACTGAACCCTGGTTCCTGAGCCTCAGATCTCCAAAGGGCAGAGAGGAACGAGGGTCTTGACTCAGCTGTGATTCTCCTCCCAGGACAGTGCTTGGGCAGGTGAGCTCTGGGTGGTTAAGTTGCTGGACTCTCACATGGCCAACTGCAGTTCAAGTCACAGATCTGGCAGCTTGAAACTCATGTGTGTACATGTGTGCCCAAAGTCCCTGGAGGAGAAGGGGTTGTGACATGGCCATCCCCCTGGGGGATGATTTCTCACTTTCTCCTCTCCGTCTCTCTGTCCCTCTGTCTCTCTCGTGTCTTTCTGGTGGGCACACGCTCTCTATAGCAAAAATCTCTCCAAAAAAAGAAAAAAAAGGAAAGAAAGTCTGGAGGAGAGAGTTGTTGAAACAAGACCTCCACTGGTCAGTACTCTAGATTCTTTAATTTTCTTCTTTTTTTTTGGAGAGGTTTTTGCTATAGGACGCATGCTCTCACCAGAAAGACAGAGAGACAGAAAGTGAGAAGTCACTCCCCCAGGGGGGATGGCCATGCCACAATCCCTTCTCCTTTCTCCTCTCGGGACCTTGGGCACACCGGGTACGAAATTCGAACTGTGGTTGGCTACATGGGAATTCAGCAACATAGCCATTACCCTAACTGCTGGTCCCCAGTACTCCAGATTCTAAGGAAGGCAAAGGGATTCAGCTGATGAACTCGGGAGGGCTCCACAGGAGGAAGCATTTAAGTTGGACACAGTGGGTAGGGCAATTTTAGAGAATGGAAACACAACAGTGTGGAAAGGGACTTCAGAGACCCTCCCTTAAGGCAGTTCACAACCATCAACAGCCATTCTTATGAGGCCAGGGAGCTGAATTCACTTGCCCAAGGTCACACAACTTAAGCTGTGCAGTAGTATTTTTTTTAATGTTCGGAGGGTCCCCAGGGCATGGCCAGTCCAGGAGCCAGTGGGCGCAGTCAGCATGGTAATTAGGTCCAGCAGTTAATTAGTAACTGCAAGGCCCTGAAGCCAGCTCCTGGATGGCAGAACTGGGAGGCTGAACTCCAGCCGGTTTGGGAACCCAGGCGAGTGGGTGACAGGTCGCTCCTGACTGGGAAGGTTGTTCAGCACGTCAAGACTGGGTTTCAGGTCAGAGGGACCATGTGGAGAGTGAGGACAGCCACCTGAGCTGGGACCCGGAGGTTTCAGGTGAGAGGCTCACCTGTGATCAGGGCACCTTCTACGGGCCTGTCTGATGAATAGACTGACTAGCCGACTTCCTTCCTTCTTAATACCCTTCCTTCCTTTTTTTCTTCCTCAGTTCTTCCCCCTCCCTGTTCTTCTTTTCTTCCTAACTTCCGTTTTTGCTTCCTCATTTCCTCCCCCCTCCCTCTTCTCTTTCCTTCTTTCTCTCCCAAATTAACTTTCTACCTTCTGAGCTACCTAGTTTTCTTCATCCCTAACTAACCAACTTACATCCTGACCTTCTCACTAACTTCATTCCCTCTTTTATACTTCTTTCTGAAATTCCAGGCCATGAGCCTTGGAGTTGGTCTGCCTGGGTTCAAATCCTCATTGTGTCATTTGTTAACTACGTCTGTTTCACCTCATTTCTACTCTCCCTGCCTGTTTTCTCCTTTTTGTAGCAGGGATGATGATCGCTCTTAACCCAAGGAGGCATGGGGACAACATAGCTTCAAGCTGGCACTTGATCTGGGCAGGCACAGGAATGAACAAACTACACCAGAGTGAAGACGGGTGTAATAACAGAAGCAGCACAAGAAAGGGAGTGAGAGGTCACGGGCTCACAGCTGTCTAGTGAGGCTTCCTGGAGGAGGAAAAGGGCTGGCTGGGCAGACCGGGTTGGTCAGGGGAATGACCCACAGAGAACTATGTGATACCCCCACGCCCACCCCACCTTTGGGGAACTGTAAGCAGGTCTGTGCAGTGATGGGACAGAGGGGTGCAAGTCTAGGTTGTGGTAAATTAGGGGCAGGACAGACATGTGGGCCTGTGAAGGGACTTGGGTAATCCCCCGGGAGTTCATGGGGGGTCTCTATAGGGCTGAGAATCCAGATAAGATACTGATGCTTGGTTCATGGCCAGAAAGTCAGAAGACAGGAGAGAAGGAATCGTTAGGGACTAAGAACTGCTTAGGTGTGGGTCACAGTCAAGGTGATGGGGCAGAGCGGGGGTGGGCACTAGGCAGGTCACAATTCCCCTCAGGACTTGGTGTTTCAGTACTAACTGAGCAGCAGCATCTTGAGAAACCTACACAACAGCACATGATTAAAAATCAAAATAACCTTGGGGCCAACAGATGGCGTAATGGCTATGTCACTGGACTCCCACATAGTCAACCATGGTTCAAGTCCTGGACCCAGTGGTTTAAAGTTCATGCCAGGCATGTGTGTGTGTGCATGCCCAAAATCCTGAGAGGAGAATGGAGGAGAAGGGACTACGGTGAGGAGATCTCGCCTGAGGGGTGACTTCTTGCTTTCTGTCTTTCTGTCTCTCTCTCTAGCAAGCACACAGGCCCTATAGCAAAAATCTCTCTAAAGAAAAATAATAATCAAAATAACCTAACCAACGATTCCACTGTCACTACGGGTCATGGCCTTCTGGTCTTTCTGTGTGTGTATATTTTCATGGCTGGACACACAAGTGTGGCTGTGCATACATTTTTCTTTTTTACAAAATCGGTGCCCTTAGTATTCTTACCATTTTGAAACTTGCATTTTTGCTTTACATTGTGTCACATTTATATTCCTGTTTAGATGTATGTAGGTTTATATCAGACCGTTGGGAAAGTCATGACATATTTTTGCCTAGAAAAAACATGGAAAAATACTTCATGACTTTCCTGACAACCTAATAGATAGTTACTTGGTCCTGTAATTTTCCATTTCATGTACCACGGTTTATCAATTCATTCCTTCATTCTTCAGTCAAAATATGTACTGAACACCTACTACCTTCCAGGCCCTACTTCCGTGGGTGGGGATTCAATAGTAAGCTAGAAAAGCCAAGGAAGCAATTAGATATACATAAACCCAGAATTCAGGACCGAACTGAAACTAGGAGGAGAAGTTGGGAAACTGAAACTGTGTCACATAGTTGGTGAAGCCGTTAAAGTGATTACTGTCAACTAGGGAACCATTGTAGTTAAGAAGTCCCAATGATTGAGCCTGGAGGAGAGGCCAGTATTAAAACATGGAAAAATACTTCATGACTTTCCTGACAACCTAATAGATAGTTACTTGGTCCTGTAATTTTCCATTTCATGTACCACGGTTTATCAATTCATTCCTTCATTCTTCAGTCAAAATATGTACTGAACACCTACTACCTTCCAGGCCCTACTTCCGTGGGTGGGGATTCAATAGTAAGCTAGAAAAGCCAAGGAAGCAATTAGATATACATAAACCCAGAATTCAGGACCGAACTGAAACTAGGAGGAGAAGTTGGGAAACTGAAACTGTGTCACATAGTTGGTGAAGCCGTTAAAGTGATTACTGTCAACTAGGGAACCATTGTAGTTAAGAAGTCCCAATGATTGAGCCTGGAGGAGAGGCCAGTATTTAAGGAAGAAGAGAGGAAGAGAATGCAGCTTAGGAGATGGAGAAAGAGCAGACAGTGAGCTGGAAGGAAAACCAGGATCTCCTGGGGCCAAGTGGGTAAGGCGAGCATGCTGAGTCCTTCAGGGGCGTTGAGCAGGAAGAGAATGAGGAGCACATCGCGGGCTTCAGCACACAGATGTGACCGGTCCACTGTTACGTTGGGCCGTTGGGACCAAAACTGTCTGGAAGGGTGCAAGAGAGAAACAGACAATGAGTCCTGGCAACTATTCTTTTCTTTGGAGAGATTTTTCACTATAGGGCACGTGCGCTCGCCAGACAGACAGGGACAGACATAGAGACAGAAAGCAAGAAATCCCCCCCCAGGGAGGATGGTCATGCCGCAATCCCTTCTCCTCCATTCTCCTCTCGGGATCTTTTTTTTTTTTTTTTGGAGAGGTTTTCGCTATAGGGTGCGTGCGCTCGCCAGACAGAGAGAGACAGAGAGACAGAAAGCGAGAAATCGCCCCCCAGGGGGAATGGTCACACCGCAATCCCTTCTCCTCCATTCTCCTCTCGGGATCTTTTTTTTTTTTTTTTGGAGAGGTTTTCGCTATAGGGTGCGTGCGCTCGCCAGACAGAGAGAGACAGAGAGACAGAAAGCGAGAAATCGCCCCCCAGGGGGAATGGTCACACCGCAATCCCTTCTCCTCCATTCTCCTCTCGGGATCTTTTTTTTTTTTTTTTGGAGAGGTTTTCGCTATAGGGTGCGTGCGCTCGCCAGACAGAGAGAGACAGAGAGACAGAAAGCGAGAAATCGCCCCCCAGGGGGAATGGTCACACCGCAATCCCTTCTCCTCCATTCTCCTCTCGGGATCTTTTTTTTTTTTTTTTGGAGAGGTTTTCGCTATAGGGTGCGTGCGCTCGCCAGACAGAGAGAGACAGAGAGACAGAAAGCGAGAAATCGCCCCCCAGGGGGAATGGTCACACCGCAATCCCTTCTCCTCCATTCTCCTCTCGGGATCTTTTTTTTTTTTTTTTGGAGAGGTTTTCGCTATAGGGTGCGTGCGCTCGCCAGACAGAGAGAGACAGAGAGACAGAAAGCGAGAAATCGCCCCCCAGGGGGAATGGTCACACCGCAATCCCTTCTCCTCCATTCTCCTCTCGGGATCTTGGGCACATACGCACATGTGCCCAGCGTGAGTTTTAAGCCACCGGGTCCGGGACGCGAACCGCGGTTGACTACGTGTGAGTCCAGCAACATAACCATTACGCTAACTGCTGGTTCCCCTGGCAACTATTCTGAGGAGTTCAGCTGAAAAGGGAAATGGGCCAGTGGGACGGTACCTAGACAGGCGTGTGAGATGAGGACAGGGAGCTATGACTGTGGCGGATATTCCAAAGTGCCCTGTGGTGGGACCTTTGGGTTATTGTTGCCACTGCTGTTTTACTGTTATAGATAGTACTGGTGAAAAGGAGGCCTCGTCAGGGTCTTGTTATTGAAAAGAAATGCCCTTGTCCTGGGTATGTACGTGTTTTGTTTACAGACACCCTGCCGATCTGTATCAGTTCAACATTTCTAGTTTGCTGAAAGATGGAAGGCTCTGATATTGTTCACTAAGGTTTCCTTTGGCCAGCACTCTGGGTCTCCTGCATTTCAGAGCGCACAGAGAGCCTATAGTCACAGGGCTCAGTTCCCTCCCCGACCACTCCCTTGACAACAGCCCCATGGGTCCCTCCCCTGTAGTGTAGTATGGCCACACAGAAAGTTCTAGAACTACAAGGACTGTATTGGGTCCATTAACCCCTTGTTCCCAGGAATACCTGCCCACCTCATTGAACTCCTGGGGAGAGGAAGGGAGTACCTAATGGTCACACCAGGCAGCAAGGCCTTCATGAGTCCAGGTGCCTGCCAGGACCCTGTTTCTTACACAGCAAGAGAGTTCTGAGCCAGCCAGCCTGCCCAGAGCCCTTGAGGGCAGCAGGGTAAGGCCTAAAGGGTCACATGCTCAGCAGTCAAAGACCAAGGACAGCTGGACTGAGCCAGACACCAGGCTCCAGTTTCCTCTGAAAGAGCTGCAGCTTCTTGGGAAGTGAAGGGCTCTTCTTCAGTCCCATGTGGTCTACACAGGGATGGATCCCAGGGACGAAATCTTCTTTCAGACAGGACCCCTACACATGCACATGCACACAGACTTAGACACACACGGAAACTGAATGATGCACACCAGTATGAACACGGACCCACAATGATGTGCCTATTCATGGCCATGTGTCACACGGTCACACACATTAGTAGACACCCACACCCATCTGAAGACACACATAAACACACACATGAGGATTCACACCCCACACAGTGCACACTGACACTAGCCCATTAGTGTCAATAAAGATACACACTGACGCATACTACACAGGGACACTCTGAAGCATGTCCACGCCCACACCACAGACACCGAAAAACACAGCGGTGCACAGTTACAGACACACAGACACATGTCAATGTAAAGGTACAGACCAAGTTGCACTAATACATTCATGGGTCATCTACATGCCGACTCACACGCCGACACACATACCTGAAATACAGAGCTGCCCTGACATGCCAGACAGACATGCACCAAAGCAAATGTATGCACAAAATACACACCGAACACCCTGACCCAGTCAGCACGTTCCGACCAGCCCCAGGGTCTTCAGGGCCGTTCAGGGCTGCCCACATCCTGCACCCCACCCCCAGGGGGAGATGATGTCCTAAGCTCCGCTGGATCCACGTGACATCAACCAGCCCCTCGCTTGCTGGGAGTTCCGAGCTCTGTGCTGGGGCCAGGCCGGCACCAGGCACAGACACTCCAGCCCTTGTTGGGAGAACAGAGAAGCTCTCTTGTCACTGCCAGTCTTCGGCTCCAACTGCTGGTTCTCCCAGAGGCCTCTCCTCAGGCTGTCCAGGTATGTGGGGCAGGGGAAACCAGGCCTGGCCAAAGGGCCCTCAGGGTCCACCCAGGAGAGGGTGTGGCAGTGTGTGTGCTGTCTGCAGGGGCACAGGCTGATGGGCACTGGCTGAGGCCAGGCCGCACTCTTATTCAGGCAGATCTGCAGCTTGGCAGGGCTGAGATTCTCAGAGCAGCCTAGCTGGAGGATCCCTTCCCTTCCCCCAAGAAGGACATGGGGGTGGTGCCTCCAGGACTGTCCTTGTAAAGATGTCCAGGCTCCACAGCTGCCAAGACTATGGTCTTAAGATGCACAGTGTCCAGTAGTGCCCAGGCTCTTGGGTGAGCTCTCAGACCTTAGCCTTGACTTCCAAGCAGAGAAGGAGCTATGGGGGTCTGAGCACCTTGAGCCAGGATCTGGAACCCCAGCTTCCTACCCTTCAGGGCAGAAGCAGGAAAGACACTGTGCTCCTGGCTGCTTAAATCAGCCGATCATGGCCTTCACTGCCTGATGTCAGAGAAACAAGGCCAGTCTCAGGTCTCCCTGTAGCTCTGGCCCACGGCGCCGAGGGCAGCTGCAGTTCCTGGGGCATTGGGCAGAAGTCTCTGTGGCAAGGAGATAAAAGCACAGATCCCAGCTGGGACTGCCCACAGAAATTCAGAGTTGCCAACAGGGCCATAACGGGGCCTGGGAAGCCTGCCTAGCCTTCACCAACGGTATGGGCCTAGGGAATTCTTTTCTGGGCTTCAGGCTCCCCACCCAGCCCTGGGCATCCTAGACTTCTAGAGCTGTCCTGGCTGTCCCCATCCCTTGAGAAGACTCGGCCTAGGAAGGGCCAGCCCTGACCATGCCCCTCCATCCCTCCTGAGATCTTTGGCTGGAAAGACTGGGTCTAGGCAAGATCATTTCTTATCCTATCCATGTAGGAGTTGCTGGCCTCTTGGGTAGGAGCCAGTCAGGCTCTAGCAGGTGCTTGAAGGTGGGGAGGATGGAGAAGGCAGGTGCCTGAAGTCCTTGACAGGTGTAGCTAAGTCCTCAACCCCTGCCTTTCACACCTGTTCCTCCCTGTGCTGCCAGAGCCTACCTGATCACTGCAACGGGATGGACTCCAGCCCAGCCGGGACCCCCAGTCCACAGGTCAGTAGTTATTGGTGTCCCACCCATCACCAGGGACTCACTTCCTCCCAAGGCTGAGGAAATCTATAGACACTGGCCAGCCCAGGGACTGTCCCAGACCAGGAATGGTCCCCCAGGGGTCACTATGAGCTCACAGAAGTAGGCTGTTTGCAAGGTAAACAGAGAGAGATTTGGGCCAGGGCTTTAAGAAGTAGATGGGGTAGAAAAATTGGTTTTGATTGAGAGGACACCTGGGTTCCACTCCCAGGCTGATCGGGTGCGAGACTAGCTGAGCAACAAGAAAGATCAGAGGAACTCTATCACAGGACCAGTTGCAGGTCCGGTAACAAGATCTTGGGAAGCTCCTCTCTGGGCCTCAGTTTCCTAACCTTACCGTTGGCACAGCAGGCAGCAGCCTCCCAAGACTACTGTGAGGAGCAGGTGAGATGATGCCGGGTAGGTGGATGGGCGGGTGGAGAGGTGGGGTGGATAAGTGGGTGGACCGGTGGAAAGAAACAAGGCAGGAAGGCAGGAGGCTAGGAGAGATGGTGGAGAAAGGATTAGGCCCAGGCCAGAGGAAAGGGAGGGGGCCAACGAGCAGAGACCTGCTCACCTTAATCACCTCTGTCTTTCAATGTCTTTAGCTCTCAAGAGCCAATGGGAACATCAACCTGGGGCCTTCAGCCAACCCAAAGTGAGTTTTGGTCTCTCAAGCAACTTTCTACCTGGCTCCTCTCACAATGGGCTCTCCTTGTTTGGACATAAAATTTAAATTCTCTGGTCTAGCGTCCAAGACCCTCTGCTGTCTAAACCCAGATAGCTCTTGCCCATGCTGAGCCCTTTGCCTGGAATGCCTCCACATATCTGCATTGTTAGCTACCCTCCCCGTTTCGGGCCCTTCCCAGACTTTGAGGCCTTCTAGAAGGCCTTGCATGCATGCTGTCTTTTTTCATCTCTTATTGGATCGTTGCTAACTTGAATGTATGCTTCCCTGGGGTGGAGGTGAGTCTTCCAAGCCCTCTCTTGGCTGGGAAAATGTGATATTCTTAAGAGAAGAGGTGCGTTGGCTCTTGGAAGGTGTTCTGTATTTCTCAGCTCTAAGACTAAAAAGAAGCCTGGGGGTTAGCCTTGTTGCCTGGTGGTTAGGGCAGCTGATCCCACATGGCCAACTGTGCGGTTCAAGTCCTGGCCCTAGTCATTCATGTATGTACTGAGCACGTGTATATACACGCCCCAAATCCCAACAGGATGGAGAAACGGAGAAGGGACTGCAATGTGACCTTGCCCTATGGGGTTGGGAGTGCTTTTTCCTCTCCCTCTCTCTGCCTCTCTCTAGCCAAAAAAAAAAAAAATAAATAATAAAACCTGGGTTTGCTGTCAGGCACTGGGCTTCCTAGCCTTGCAAATGCTAATCAATTTCCTTGCCTCATCTCCCAGTGCCCGGCCTACAGACTTCGACTTCCTCAAAGTCATTGGCAAGGGGAACTACGGGAAGGTGAGTGAATTTGGGAAAGCCGGAAGCATGTCTCCCCTTCTGCAGCCTCCCTCACCCCAGGCCTGTCACTTGCATGAGCAGAGAGGGTTCTCATGCTTGCAGAAGGAACACATGTCCCTTCCTGTGCTGTTATCAGGAAATCCAGAGTCATGCATGGGCTTTGCATGTGTGCTTTCACCCAGGTCCTGCTGGCCAAGCGCAAGTCCGATGGGACATTCTACGCAGTGAAGGTGCTGCAGAAAAAGTCCATCCTCAAGAAGAAAGAGGTACCAGCTCAGACATGGCATTTCCTCACCTGCTTCTTGACCCCAATCTTGGGTGGCCTCCAAAGATGGGGCCCCCTCTGAGGAGTCCATGAGGCTGGGTAGTCATAGCAGGGGCTGGGGTACCCACAATGCTGACCTGTCTCAAGGAAGGCAAGTCAAGCCAACTCTTCCTTA